AAGGCCAGGCATGGTGGCTCACACCTCTAATCCCAGCACTTTGGGAGGCCGAGGCGGGTGGATCACCTGAAATCAGGAGTTTGAGATCGGCCTGGCCAACATGGTGAAACCCCGTCTCTACTAAAAATACAAAAATTACCGGGGTTTGGTGTTGCGTGCCTGTAATCCCAGCTACTCAGGGAGGCTGAGGCAGGAAGATCTCTTGAACCCAGGAGGCGGAGACTACAGTGAGCAGAGATTGCGCCACTGCACTCCAGTCCAGGCAAGCAAGACTCCGTCTCCAAAAATAAATTAGCCGGGCATGGTGTGACACACCCCTGTAATCCCACCTACTCGGGAGGCTGAGGCAGGAGAATCATTTGAACCCCGGGGGGTGGGAGGTTGCAGTGAGCCAAGATCATGCACTCCAGCCTGGGTGACACTGCACTCCAGCCTGGGTGACAGAGTGAGACTCTGTCTCAAAAAAAAGAAGGAAGAAGGAACCAAACTGTAGTGATCAAACCCTTCCTTTTCAGAACTAGGAAAACCCAGGCCTAGTGACAAAGCAGAAAGACCCCAAATGGTAGAAACAGCTGCTGCACCCCTTTCTGCTCTTGTCCCCATTGAGGGGCTGAGGTAGCTCTGAGAGCTAGAGGGGTGTTAGCTGTGACCCCATTCCAGAGGACTGACTGTAGCCCAAGGCAAGAGGGATTTCCCTAAGGAAGGACCCAGATGGTGATCTTAGGGTGGGTGACGAAGATATTCTTTGAATTTCTCTTGGAGTTGGGAGATTTGGTATTGCTCAACTTAATCTGCAGTGCAAAGTCCTGTCCCACAACTAAGAGGAACCAGTTCTCATGTCCTCGATCCTCTTTGAAGCAGCTGGGGCTGGTCTGTCCCACATCATCAGTGGCATTAAGCACAACAGATACCATGTCAGCACAGTCCTTGTGCTCTAAAATGTTCAGGGGAGGGGCACGGCAGCAAGGAGAGGGTCTTTGTGGTGGCTCAAGGAGATCTTTTGGATACTGCAGGCACCGGCCCCCAGGGGCACTGCCGGAAGCGTCTAGCTCACAGGCATAGGCCTTTCGGTAAAGGTCACCCATCCAGAGATCCAGGATGTAGCTGGTTCCAGGTGATGAAATCTTCCCATCTTATGACTGGGGAGTCTCAGGTCTAGTAACAAAGTGAAGAGACCCCAGATGGCAAAAAAAGAGCTGTGCCCGAAGTTCTCCTCCTCGTCGGTATTAAAGGGCTTTCGGTATCCCATAGAGCTCTGGGATTCTCACAGCGAGTGGGCGGGGTGGGAGGCCGCCAGTGAGTGCCCAGGCCTCCTTCCTTGGTGGTGGGACTCTGAGTAACCCCCAGCAGGGTAGGGTTGGAGGGAAGATCCAGTCCCCTCGCTGTGCTCCAGCTGGGCCAGGCAGGGCTGCCTACCCCTGTAACTGGAGTGAGAGGGAGTCAGGGACCTACAGTGCCCTTTTGCCCTGTCCTTAGCGACCGGGACACACAGTTGGTGCGGCTGATGCGGCGGAACAGCCTGAACCGCAAGGATGCAGAGGCTCGCATCAATGCCCAGCTGCCCCTGACAGAGAAGGCCCGCATGGCCCGCCATGTCCTAGACAACTCGGGCGAGTGGAGCGTCACCAAACGCCAGATCATCCTCTTGCACGCCGAGCTGGAGCGCTCCCTGGAGTACCTGCCGCTGAGGCTGGGGGTCCTCACGGGGCTGGCTGGCGTTGCCATCCTCCTCTACCTGCTCACCCACTACCTTCTGCCTTACGCCTAGCGGGGCACTCAAGGCAGGGAGCCCAGGCCTCCATCTGTCTCCTTGGAGGCCGAAGCCAGGTAACACTTCCTGTTTCCTCCCAGTCCCCTCTACACACACACACACACACACACACACACACACACACACACACACACACACACACACACACACACACACACACACACACACACACACACACACACACACACACACGGATGCTCTGAATCGGGGCTGGGCCCCTGCGACAGGCCATCCCTTCTTTGGAGTACATCCTATCTGAGGCCAAGAAACAGCCTGCTGTCCTTCCCACCTTCCCCAAGCACCACCTGCAGAACAGCAATCCTGATGGTGTGTGAAAGCAAGAGACTGCCATACATTTCTGTGGGCGGGGCTAGGGAACACTGTCTCTGCGGCCCTCCCCAGCGCTGGGAAGCCAAGGGTTCACTGGGCTTGAACCCTCTGTGAGCACCTGCCCCGTCATGGCCTAAACCTCCTCAGTGGACCACGAGAAATCCCGTTGGAGCAAGGGTTTCCACGTTCAGTCAGTAAGGCCCTCCCCTAGGCTGAGCCCTGGCCAGCATGCAGTGAGGGTTCTCTTGTGGATAACGCTGTAGCCAAGCAGGGCCGGGCCTCTTCTGGAGACCCCCACCTCCCCACGTGGAGTTTGTGCAGTGCTCCCACACCCCGCTCATGCCTCCCACCCCTGCTCTCACCTGGACCTGTTGGTACTCTGTGTGCACCATGCTTGCTGTTTCTTGGCTCTGTGCCTTCAACCTGCTGCTCCTAGCCTGGGATACCTTTTATTTTCTTTTTCTTTTTTTTTTAACTTACCACCAGCTCTCAGTTCAGGCACTGTCTGAAGCCCCAGGCTGGGTTAGGTGGTCTAGGATACCAACTCCCCCTCAACATTTCACCTTAATCTGATAGTACAATAATTAGCCAAAAGCTGCCTGGTTTTTCCTACTAGATTGTAAGCCCTCTGGGGACAGGGACAGTGTCTTATTCATTCTGTGTTCTTAGCGCAGAGCCTGGTTCGCTGTTGGTGCTTAATAAAGTGTGTTGATCTGAAATGCCCCAGACTAACCAAGGTTCCCAGACTTGGCTTCTTCCCCCACTGGGCTGGACTCCTCCCAGAGCCCAGGGGGAGGTGAGGGCCCCAGGAGGTACACTCGCTGTCAGACTTCTTCCTGGGTTCCAAGTGGACTGCAGCCAGGCCCAAGGCACCTTTGTGGGAGGCGGGTGGAGGGCTGGGGCAGCGCCACCTTCTTGCCCCGCCTCCCCATCTGCCTTCCCCAACCCAGTTAGACCAGCGCAGACATCAGCCTTCCGTGCCAGGGCCTGCAGACCTGCTGATGTGTCGATCCTGCAGCCAACAGCCTATTAAGGCCAGAAATGAGTGTGATGGATGTGAATGTTGTGGTGGCCATACTCACTGCCCCCTTTCCTGGAACGTTGTGCTCAGAGTCTAGCTCATTAACTTACTACAAACCCCTAAGGAGGCAAGGAAGGGCTGGATAAGGCAGTGGTGAGCTGCCGGGAGGTGGCCAGGCAGGATGAGAGTGGCAGGAGCCTGCTGCTTCCTCAGTTTGGTGCGACCCAGCAGGAGGGGAAAGAGGAGGGAAGATATGGACCCCCATAGTGCCCTGTTACCCCAATAACTGAAGAAATGGCACTTCCTGAGCATGCCAGGCACTGCCGGATGTGTAAGACCCTCTAGTTAACATAACATTGAGTATTTCCATCCCAGGCTCAGGAAGATGGAGGGATTTGGTTTAGGTTGCAGAGCCGGGCTTCTGAACTCTCCTGTTCCTTGAGTCTCTTGTCAGAGGGAGCCAGAGCCTATGGTTGGGGCTTGGGCTCAGGTTCCGGCTCCGCTTGCCATGTGACCTCCTGCCTTTAGTTTCTACTCATGCATCATGAGGCTTCATAGTGGAGGACACTGAAAACCTTTAGCACACTGTAAAGTTCCAGAGAATTAACTTCGTCCCTGATCTGAGTTTGAAGCAAGAATGTCAGAGGATGGCCAGGCATGGTGGCTCACACCTGTAATCCCAGCATTTTGGGAGGCCAAGGTGGGCAGATCACAAGATCAAGAGTTCAAAACCAGCCTGGCCAGTATGACAAAACCCTATCTCTACCAAAAATATAAAAATTAACTGGGCATGGTATCAGGCACCTGTAGTCCCAGCTACTGGGGAGGCTGAGGCAGTAAAACTGCTTGAACCTGGGAGGCGGAGGTTGCAGTGAACTGAAATCGCACCATTGCACTCCAGCCTGGGTGACAAGTGAGACTCATCTCAAAAAAAAAAAAAAATTAATGTCAGAGGATGGCAGGTGTGGAGAAACCTCAAATTCAGCCCTGCCCTGCCCAGGCCTCGCCACAGCTCCCTCTCCAGCTCCTTTTCCTCCCTGCCCCGGGTTGCCCTTCCCAGCCTTGGAAGTCCAAGGTGGCCTTAAAAGAAGGCCTGCTTTCTCCGAAGGGGGCTCGAGGTTGAGGTCGCTCAGCAGCTGCAGAGGTCGGACCTTTGGGACCCAGGCCCGCGCACGAGCCGGCAGCCTCCCGTTCGGCCGGCAGGTGGCAGCACCCTTCCGAGCTGGGCCGGCCTCGGCGGCGGGCACTCACCGAGCTGCTCCTAACTTTCCTCCTCTCCCGCCGCGAGCGGCCTCCGACTTCTGCCTAGTGGCGGGAGTTCAGGCCGGGTAGGCGCGGAGGCTCTGCCTGACTCCGGCCGCTAATTTGAAAGCTGCGTTGGTCGCCCAAGTCCTCTGAACCTGAGCTGCGGGTCCCGGGTGCCAAGAGGTGTGTCCCCCACCCCACCTACCGCGACGGTGACGGGCAGGGGACCCTGCAGCCTCTGCATTGCGTTCCCTCACTTTGGGCCTCAGCACCTGGCGGCACGGAGCAGTCACGACACCAGTGAGGGTGCAGACGCGCGCGCCTTCTGGCGGGGGACGAATGGCACTCCCAGGCCCAGCTGGCCCGAGGGTAATTCGCAGCGTTCACTTATCTCCTTGAAATCTCCCAGCTGAGTGAGGGAGACAGGTCCAGAATTTTACAGAGGCTCAGAGGTTGAGCCGGGGCCCAAGTAGCCAACAGGTGCAACCATCAAGTTTCTGGACTCCCAGTACAGTGCTCCTCCCGCTATCTTCACTGCTCCTATTAATACAGTTTGGCTCTTTAGTAATTGACAGCTCTTCTTCAGATGTTCCTTCTATCTCTCTCCTCATGTGGGGTGGGAGAGGCAGGGGAAGGTTTGGGACATTCCATGATGAGCCTCCGTGGCTAGAAGTTGAATGGAAGTAGGATGGCTGTGTCTGCTGAGCGCCTCTAGTTCTCACAAAGGCACTTTAGGTCAGAAGGAAACAGTCTTAGGGCAGGAGGAGGAATGTGGTGGCAGTGATGACTTCAGGTCATGTGGGCATATAGGAGTGGGCAGGGAGACCCTCCCCGCCACATGGTGAGAAAGAAGGAGCAAAACGAAGGAGGTGATGCGGTGCCATAGGTTGCTGTCCAGCTCCTTCCAGGGAAGGATAGACGTGGCTGGTGGTTCCTCATCCCACCTGCAGAGCTGAGGCTGCACCCAGCTGAGACCCAAACCGCCTCTCTTTGCTCCCTACCTTCCCTTCCCCTCCCAGTCACTCAGATTCCAATACAATTTCCAGCTAACCAGCATGTCAATAGAACAAGTCGGGCGGCTGGATTGCTGGCCAATTACAGGAAATCATTCTGCTCCACAGCTCAGCGCTCAGGGAGGGAGAGGAAGGGAGGGAGGGAGGGAGGAAATTCGAGGGAGCAGGCGCCCAGCTTGCAGGCTGGGAAAGGGCTTCAGGCAGAAGGCTGGGAGTGCTGCAGCCCCCCCAACCCCGGAATGGGGGTGGCGGGTGGGGAGGCTCCTGGGGACAGTTCAGCCCTGGGCTTATCCTCAGCCTCCTGCGGAGCTCTGGATCCAACTTCTGTGTGATGGGGAGATTGGTGCCCCAAGCCACTAAGAGAGAGAGAGCTGGGAGCTGAGTGTGGATGAGGAGGATCTGAGAATTGAGGGATAGAAGGGAATAGATAGGATAGAAATAGATAGAAGCCGAGATGGTGGGACCACCCTCTCCCAGAGCCTTGTGCACCAAGGACTGGGCGTCTGAGGGCCTGGAGGCTGGGGCCCACAGGCAAGACCTGTGTTCTCACAGCCCGATGTGGGCCAAGGGGTACCTAGGAGGACAGGGAAGGGATTGACGGGGTAGGGGCCACATCCTGCAGCTGAGTGATCTAGCAGCAGCCTTGCCTGGTGAAGAAGTGAGTCTTCCACCCCAGAAGGTGGGGCACAGAAATGTGGGAGAGGCCAAGGGCCCCCTTCCTCACCTTCCCAGCTCCTCTGCCTCAGCTCCCAGCTCTGGCCCTCAAAATTTCACTCAGATGAAAGAACCTCAACTCCCTTCCTCTTTCCATGGGTCTGAATCTCCCTCTGCCTTCTGTGCCGACCTGAATGCCTCTTTTCCAGCCCCCACCCCTCCCATCACATCCCTCCCAGAACTGTCCCTGTGCCCCAGGCTGAGCTACGCTGGCTGACCAGAGATGCTCCGCCACCAGCCCAATGCTGAGCTCTTCTTCCCAGCTCTTCCCCTCTGCCCTCAAAGGACTGGAAGATCCTTGAGGAAGAGAAACTTCCCTGTGGGCTAACTTCACCCAGTGAATGGCTATTGCTGTTTGTCTTGAATCCCAAATATTACGCCTGTAATCTCAGCAATTTTGGAGGCCGAGGCAGGCGGATCACAAGGTTAGGAGTTCAAGACCAGCCTGACCAACATAGTGAAACCCCATCTCTACTAAAAATACAAAAGTTAGCCGGGCATGGTGATGCATGCCTGTAGTCCCAGCTACAGGTAAGGCAGGAGAATCACTTAAACCCAGGAGTTGGAGGCTGCAGTGAGCTGAGATTGCACCACTGCCCTCCAGCCTGGGCAACAGAGTGACACTTTGTATCAAAAAAAAAAAAAAAAAAAGTAATTGTGACCCAATGATCTCCTTCTCTGCTCCAGGCTGTGGCCACCTCCCAGGCCCCCTCTCCAACCCCCCCAGGATCTAACTGCCCTTCTCCTAATACCAAGCCCTCCGCTTCAGAACCTCCAGGGTTGGTTCCTGGG